CCAGTGTTGGAGCATTCACCACTTCTGGAGGCAGGTTGTTCCACTGGTTAATTGTTCTAACTGTCAGGAAGTTTCTCCTTAGTTCTAGGTTGCTTCTCTCCTTGATCAGTTTCCACCCGTTGCTTCTCGTCCTGCCTTCAGGCGCCTTGGAGAATAGCTTGACTCCCTCTTCTTTGTGGCAGCCCCTGAGATATTGGAAGACTGCTATCATGTCCCCCCTCGTCCTTCTCTTCGTTAAACTAGACATACCCAATTCCAGCAACCGTTCCTTGTAAGTTTTAGCCTCCAGTCCCCTAATCATCTTTGTGGCTCTTCTCTGTACTCTTTCTAGAGTCTCAGCATCTTTTTTACATCGTGGTGACCAAAACTGGATGCAGTATTCCAAGTGTGGCCTTACTAAGGCATTGTAAAGTGGCACTAATACTTCATGTGATCTTGATTCTATCCCTCTGTTAATGGGCCAGAACACACAGTTGTGGTTGATTGATAGGAGAGTGCGGGCTCCAGCATGAAGCAATCTATGTTATGATTGGTTGCTGGATGTAAAGGGGGAGTTTCCCTTTTTCCCTGCCTTTTTCTTCTGCATGCTCTGTATGCTGTTCTGTGATTTACCTGATGATTTACCTCATGATACAGTGGTGTGTCTATCTTGTCTACTCTAAATATAGATGTTAAATATATTTATTTATATAAAACTACAAGTTTGTCTGACTCCGTTTGGACACCAGTTGAGCAATTCCCTGACAAGTTGAAGCTAGCATCACATTTTCCAGCAATAGCACGTTTCCATTCCCATGAAAAATTCCAAATGGGGTCTGAAGACCATGGCTTCCCTTGTTGGTTTTTTTTTTTAACATACACTGATCCTGAATATGGCGACTGCACGTGAATTACAGATGGTCCTCCACTTACGACCACAATTGAGTCCAGAATTGAGGGGACTTTAAGAAAGGAGTGCCTCTAGCTAAGTCATGAAAAGAAAATGTGACTTGCAAACTTCCCTTCTCTAGATGGATTGGCCATCCTTGTTGTAAAAGTTCACTTCTTACCCAAGTCTGCAGCATGAAGCATCAGCCAGCGGATGGCCACGTTGCAGTCTCTTAAGCAGTTCAGCAGTTTTGGGATGTTGTCAAGCACCATCTCTTCTCTTAAACAACCTTCTTTAAGAAATTGTTGCACTTGGGTGTGAACACGCTCAGTGACAGCAGCAGCTCGGCTAGCCTTCAACGGCAGAAATCAAAGCATTAGCATTACAGAGGAAGAGCAAAGCCCTAGGGATGAAATGGACATTTTAAAATTTGTGGGTCTCTAGCAAAGGCTAAACTACATCTTCCGGCATCTTTCACGCTTGGCTAAATTGTCTTAACACACCTGGGAGTTGTAGTTTGTAATACCCAGAGAGCAACAAGTGCACACTCCTGGTATAAATGGTACTAACAAAAACTATTAACATTCTTGAATTTTCAAACTTAAGAGTTAATGTTACTGTTGTTCCCAAACAACTTAAAACAACAACCCTTACTTTACAAAATGCAAAAAAAAAATAAAATGCAGATGTTCAAGATATTCCAATGAATAAGTTACTTTCCGATTTATGAAAAAAAAATCTATCATTGCCCACCTTCCCTGCCAGGATTTGGGAGCAAATCATGATTTCTCTGTTTAATGTTAGTTCTGGCGAAGTTGCTTTGCAGGTTTTCTTTCTAATCAGCAATCTATTTGGTCTCAAAAAGTAAAACGGGGTCAGATCTGGTTAGTGCTTAAATGGGATATATGAGTACCAGGCAATCTCAACCGTAGGTGATTGTACACAGAAATTTAAGGGATTATGTCTACAGAACAAAAGGATTTAATTTAATTAATTTCTCCGCTTTTATTCCTGCTCTGCCATGTAACGCCATGGTAGGAACTCTTCAGTAGGATTAGCTTCAATCAGATTTAGTATTTATTTGCCTGGGGAATTGAAACGTATCCTAGGAGAAGGAGGTGTCGAACCACTTTTATCCTGCTGCTAAGTAAGCAACAGATTGAGGGAAGTCAGCTCCCCAGAGAAGGAAATATTAAAATATATTTCCTCAAAAGGATTTTAAAAGCAGAAACTAACCCTGCCTCCAAGTCTCTCTGTCCCAAGCAGAAGCCAGCTCTGTACATATGCAGATGTAAACTATCAGGAAAGTTAGAGCTAGAAGCTTAAGAAGACAAAAGACACCTAAAATCTGCATACCCCACCTGAGACAGGACATGGTAGGATTAACTCACAAAGGCCAAAGGGCACACCCAGACTCAGGTCAGAATAGTGACACAGGAAATACAAAGCCTGAAACAGGAACAGGAACCACTTCAAACAAAAGGCTAGAGAGGGTATAAAAATCTACTAGCCACATGTGCTCACGCTTCTTTTCTCTCCTGTTTCCTGCCAGAACCATCTTTCGGTCTGGCTCTTCAATAAACTGCAACCTTCTTTCTAAAGCAGTCGCCATGTTGTTTATTTATCCCCGGCTTGGATGACCCAGGATGAAGACTTTTCTTTCAACAAGATTTTCCATGAAGTCACCCATCGCTGAATTGGACTCAGAGGAGAGATTAGCTACCTCTTGTGAATTATAAACAAGTACATTTAACTGAAGCTTGCTAATGAGTATGCCACAAGGACACAAATGGTTACTTGGGAGTTTCATAAGTCCGCGAGGTGTGCAAAAGTGGATCCTGACATTTCAGCCACAGTCAACTACACTGTAGATCTAGGCATCTGTTATTCTTCCTTAGAGTGGCTGAGACCTTCCTTCCTTCCTTCCTTTTTAAAGTCTTTCTGATGTAGTTCTACAGTCATGGGAAAAGGCCCCCACTTCCCATTTAAAGTTGCTATGCTTTCCTTCCTGACAAAGCTCAGCATCAGAGTGTGCACCTTCCTTTCCCCACTTCTATGTGCAAATTCAGGTTGCCAAGGGTAACAAGAGAATAAGACCTTAAGGTAAGAGGCCCTTAAAAAGCTCTACATTTGGTGAGAAGATCACAAGTTGGTAAGTTTAATGAAAACACTTAAATCAGATTCTTACATAACTTCACTTATCCTGCTAAGCTCACATTTCCTTACCTGCTCCTTAACATTGGAAAGATCCAGTGTGTAGTTCAGAGCTGTTTTGGCAGCCTTGTATGGCTCCCAGGCTTCTCCCAGATTGACTGATATTCCCATGTAAATGCTAATAACCTGTGAACAGAAGCCAAAATAAAATCTCTGAAAACTCCAGTTGTCCAGATATTAATGGAGAAAGGAGGCCATCAGCATGTCACAAAACAGATTTACGCCTGGTTTGCTATGGAGATGGCTAACCATGGTTGCAGTGTTAGCTATGGTTATGGCTATACATGGCCTTAGAGATGGTTAACTATGGTTATGCTTGTGGTTAGCCATGGTTGTAGGTGTGACTAGCTGTGGTTGTGGATGTGATTAGCCATGGTTGTAGATGTAGTTAGCGATGGTTGTGGAGGCAGTTTAGTGGCATCATTTTAAAACTAGTGGAAAATCAATGCTGGACCCAGTTGCAGGGTTAGTTATGGTTATGGATACAGCTAGCCATGATTGTGGAGACAGTTGACCATGGCTGTGGAGGTATGTAGCCATGGTTATGTAGATGGCTGGCCATGGTTGCGAAGACGGTTATCTGTGGTTATGTGGTCAGTTAGCCACGGTTGTGGAGACAGCTTAGTGCTCTCTGGCAGACAACATTTTAAGACTAGTAAAGAACAATGTTGCTCGGTCTAACTATAGCGGGAAAACCTAACTGGTTCAAAGCTACAACAATCCCAGAATTAATTAAGTGTAAAAGATCCAGTAACCTCTCAGATTTCTAGACCTGGATTCTGAATGGCTAAAGGTGAGAATGGAATTAACCTCACTGGCTTTGCTTGGTTCTCTTGTATTCACACCAGGGGTCTGAAATGAGGATGAAGCAAAAACATATGGGTAGCCTTGGGAGTGGGTTGGCAAATGAGGAAACATTACCACACAAACATTATCATGCAAACAGCATTGACATACCCTTAGATCAGACAGCAACACTCAATGATGCAATGGCAGCATTTGCGAGATGACTTTATCTAGTACATATCATAATTTGAGCACCCCTGGAGACTGCAATAGAAGAGTGGAGTGGAATGGAGTGGAATGAACAATTCACTTTCCATTTTCTTGCCTATCTTAACTTGTGTTTCTAATCTGTTTTTTACGGTACTGTTTTTTCCCTTTGTGTAATAAGATAGATAATAATATAGTCATAATAAATTCACATTAGACAGTACTGTGAGGATTAGGTGTTCAGCAAAGTGATGGCAAGAGAAAAAAAATCTGTATCTATTTGTTTTGGCATGCAATGCCCTACAGCAGCAAATCATTCATTAATAGCAGCACTAACAATATATTTACCCA